GCCCGGATGGGGAAACCGAGGCAGGGAGCAGGGGTGGGCGTGCGTGGGGATCCCTTGAAGGCAGCCTCGGAAACCCCACTGAGCCAGCGCTGCCTGGGCGCTGTGTAAGTCCAGGCTGTCGTTTCACTCCTGGTTTTAAGATATTTTTCCTGTTCCGAGGTTTGAAGCCTCCCGTCCTCTGTTTTAAGTTCCGTGATTCGGAGAAAACAAGTGAACTGACCGTGAAAAAGCCCACAGGCTTCCCTGGAATGTAGGCCGCCTGGGGTCGAACCCTCCTGGGTCTCAGTGTCGCCGCTACCTCCCAATTAACTGCGCCCCGGCAGCAGTTCCCTAACTGATCTACGCCTCAGCCGCCTCCTCCTTAAAACGGGAATGAAGTACACACACATGTGCCAATCGTTGGGCGGTTCAGTGATTTGAATTAGATGAACTGGTGCATTCCAACGTTGATTCTTATTGCCGAATAAGTTGTTTGGAAATTGCAAGTGGAAGTGTGCCTCGCTGAATGAGGTTTTGGTGAACAATAGTTCTGAGTAAAAGTGTTGCTGGACAACGAAAATTCAAGATTCTTAATTTAACAGGTTTTTCCCCGGTGCTTAACTGGGTGTTAGCCAGACTTAGTTCTGGTCACTGGGCCAAAATGGTAAACAAAAGACAGGCTTCCTGGCCTCAAGGAACTAAAAACATATTTCAAAAGGCACAGAACCACACCAGAGATAAGAAACAGTGCAACCTTCCCCCCCAATCATTTCATGGAAGCGTTGCAGTTGATTCACAGGCTTTGAAGTGTTCTGATCTGTTTATATCCCTAAAATGATCATTTCTATTTATTGTGCGCCTTTGCGTTTTCCAGGAGTTAAATCTTGGAACTCGATTGTACAAAGTGAAAGCAGAGAATTTTAATCTGAACCTCTTTGTATTCCTTTTTTTTTTTTAACATGTTTAAAAGTCAGATTTTTGCTACAGCTTATGAAAAATGACAGCTTTTAAAGCAAGTTAAATTACTGCAGATGTGCCACATAGCTGTTCTGTTTTGCCTCAGTGTAATTAGTTGTTTCTACATCTTCCCTTCCCGTGTCTCCAGGTGACTCCAGACCAAGGAGGATGAGCTGCTGTCCCTGGAAGAGAAGGGATGGAGGGAAGCGGCTCCTACACAGTTCCCTCTGTGGCTGCTGCTGATCTGGAGGAGGGTGCTGGTCAGACTAGGAGCTTGCCTGCCACCCCCTCCAAAGATGTTCACAAGTGTGTTGGAGGCATCATCTTTTCCTCCTCACCGATTTTAGACTTGAGTGGAAGTGGTCTGTGCCATTTGGAGGAGGTCTTTAGAGTCCCCAGCCTTCAAGTAAGTGGGGCTGCTCCTCTGGCTGTGTTGGGAGGCAGAAATGGGAATCTACCCCGGGCTTTATTTGTAGGCTTCTTTCTCTTTGGAAGTGATGAATTCTAAAATGAAATAGAGGAAAGGCTAACTCATAGTTTCATATGCCGATCACAACAAAATGGGAAATTTCTTTTTTTTTTTTTTTGAGATGGAGTCTCGC